TTTGACGGTCCCGTTTTTCACTGTTTGGCTTCAAAAGATCGTGAATCGCGGAGTTAATCGTTCATGAAAGACAACAGCGAATACATCACTCTGAATAAGTTGTAGCGACCATCACTCTCACCCTCGCCAATAGATGGATTCTTACTTACTCGGTGAATCCTCGACCTACCATAAATTGCAGTTCCTATGCTTCTAAGTATCACCGTCTAAGTCTAGGCCTGCTAGAATGCCTTACTGCCTTACAAACAATTTTTAATATAACAAGTGCACCCTGTAGCGACCAAGGTTCACATTCTCACTGCTAGATGGATAGCGGAGGTTCGAGGTTTCTCGCAAGTCCTCGATGAATCCTCGACTCCTATAAATACAAGTTCCTATCCTATCTAAATATTACTGACGAGTCCACTAGCAGGCCTAGGACGAAACGTCCCTCCGTTCTTTTATCAGATATCTACCATAGCACAACGACCACAGCAGGCAGCACTGTAGGAATCATCATACTCCGTGGGGGAGGGAGGAATCCCCACTAAGTCATTATATACAAGTCGATGATCAGTATCCAAACTCACCACGACAAGTCATTCTCAGCGACTCAACGAGTCTTTGCGAATAATCATTCACCGTTGAGTGGTTATTTGCTATATCATCAAACGAGACACAATCATCTCAAGGATTATATGACATCGTCTAATCATTGGATCACTAAAGAGTCAAAGTCTGCCGAATTCATTGGCAAATTCGAGTCGGATCAACTATACACATTGAACTTACAAACCAACACCCGTGCCCACCACAACGATCTATGAGTATGTGACAACAGCCCACGTGAATCACCAATAGAACTTCAAAGTCCAAGATGCAACTTTGTGACGATGACTATGACCGATGACACTAAAACTCCAAACTCCGAAATACAACCCCTTTCGAACCGCCTAGGATGATAACAGGAATATATATATATCCCGACCCCAAAAACCAAAAAAGTTAGTTTTGCTCCAACTCCATATACGTTCACTTCTCTTACTTATACCTGCTCTACGGATAGTATCTCGTATAGAGGCCTAGTTTCTTCTTCATCGCTGCAAGTTAGACCCATTACAAGTAAATGGATTGGGTCCATAACAAAGCTCCTGGACTATGTTCTGACTGCAACGAAATGGAGTGTGTATCTCTCTATCGAAGTTTGGATAGCCTACGTTCGAATTACACCAAGCGTTTATCATTACGTGTCATTATAAGGATAAATGTTTCCTCACGAGAAGCCTCAAACTATAACTCCGCTCCCAGATTTGCATAATCTCCAACAAAGAGGCTAAGAGAATTCGCGAGTAGTCGTGAAAACGTTAAGACAATCGCGAAAAAACACAGAAACAGATTAACGACCTATTATCCTTTCGTCGTTCGCTGTCCAAGCTTTCATCCCTGTCTCTCAGCTCGTTCGAGGGTAAACTATCAACCCTTTGGCGAAAGAACCACTCGGACGACCGTTCGTATAATGCACGCGATTTAAATGTTTCTAAGGGGAGCAGCGAATGAAATTGGACAGATTCAATTCTATGGAACGATGTCCCTTAAGAGCAATCCAGGACGCTGTTCGGAGATTTCGCAAATATTACGGAAAATTTCATAAAGAGCCAAGGCTATCCTGTCCTGGGGAAAATACGTAAGGGTACATTGACCCTTGTCGAGGATAAAAGGAATAAAGGAAAAGAAGAGAAGAAAGAAAGGGAGGAGGAAAAGAAAAGAAGACGAGGAAGAGAACGTAGAAATAGGGTCGTCAGGGTGGAGGATGTAGACGGAGTCGATAATCAGGAGAATCGAATGAACGAGACGTCCTGACAGGGGTGAAACGTTCAAGTGAGCGAATAAATCGGTGTAAATGGGATCGGGAATCGGATTAAGCGGTACGCGGTAGGGCGACGTAGGGGTTGGTTTAAAAACGTTAACAACTCAGTCAAGCTACTCCCCCTGGAAAAGAGATTCCAAATATAATATCATAATTCGTGCGAGTTTTACGACGTACAGAGGAGTAGATTTACATATAAAACAAGCAAGCGCTTATCTGCCGACATGGGTTTCGCTCGAGGGCGTAGCACCGCTTCGTTTCGTTGGATTAGTCAAAAAATTACCCCTGTTTATCAGGCATAACAGTGCTTAGTCATAATCACGGTCGTGGTTCGTTCTCTCTTTGGTATACACGTTTTCATTATGCCGCATTAATTTCGCCAATCTGAGAGACTATTATTTCTCCTATTATACGAGTGAACGGATAAATTCGGGGCGCATTGATAAATAGTAAGTAGGGTGGAAAATATTGCGCAGGCTACGCGGAAAGGGGGTCGCGCAAGATTTGCACGTGTAAAGGGAATAATTATTTTCCTAATTACAACGAGCACGAAATTCGCAACGAATTTCGTTATTTCGTCGATTATTAAAAAGGAGGAATGGAAAGCGAAATTTGAAAAATCGTGGGGGATATTAATTTGCAAAATGGAAGAACAAAGGGGATGGTTCGATTTTTATTTTTGGTTCGCTATTTAATTTGCAGCGCTGAAGGGGGTTTTAATTGGTATTTTGATGAACTCGTGTCTTGTAATTTGTAATTTTATTGGATATTTAATGACAGGTTATTAATAAGATTAAGAGAGATTATAATTGCAGGGTTTATTAATCGCGACATACTGGAGGCACGTGCAATATGTGAAATATATTAGAATGTTGATGAATTGTGAATGTTTGTATGCTATACAGTGTCTACGACATAGTTTTGGCTTTTACGTATCTAAAATATGTAGTTCTTTCCGTAAAATATATGCCACGTTTTTATACCTAATAGAAGAGACATAAACCGATCGTTAAAACCCGTAATAAAACATCATATGGCGTCAGATTTTGTTAAGAATTTACGAGACATTCATAAAGTCGTATAATTCCTATACGAACAACAGTGTTACGAGTTATTTCAACACCGTGATGGCTCGTGTACATGAAACTCTTCTATGTATTAACCAAAATATTACACGAAAAGTAGCAGAAAATAAAAGCAAATAACATAAATTAAATCTTTTCATTAGTTGCAATAAAACTTTATCACAGTCTAATTTTCTTTGAGCACTACATAAATCCACAAATAAAAGATACAATCGTCTAAAAGCCTCGCATATTTTCATCTCCAACAAATTTTGTTTCTTTTCAAAAAATAAAATTCACCTGATTTACTCAAAACATTCCCCATCATCCCTTGAATCTCTAAGAACTTATATTTGAAAAACCTTGATGTAGTCTGTCCTATCATTAATCCATTAGTTCGTCGTTAGCATGGTAACTGTCGTCATTCGAAGAAACGACAGATACCATAATTAACACTAGAACTACCAACCCAGTGAAAATGACTGGTTCCAGAATTTTCCTTTTTGCAATCACCGAACACACACACCTGTTTTAAAAATAAAAATGGTAACAACTCATAGAACTCAAAGAACTGTAATCAATATATTCACTCATATTCATTATATCGCTGAAATTACTATAATCTGTGCAGGTTAAAGTTAGGTACCCACTGAAGATCGGTAGTTCTATTGTTAACGCAACAAAAATAATTAAAATATATCTTTTCAATATACCAAGAAACACACAGAAACACGTCAGTATATCCACTGATCGCATCCATGACTGTCCATTTGAAACATTCGTCGTCAAGTGAAATAGCTATCATAAACCCACACCATCTCCAAGCCTACATACTTCGCAAATTAATCCTGTATAAGCTAAATTCCAGAGATCAGAAAGCCACTACTCCACTATCATCTTAATACAAAACCAGTTTACATTTGTATATCATAGTGAAGACTGGTGATAATCTCTATCTAATCTACCCCTGTCTCTTGCACCTGACAATCCCAGAAGGAGACCAAAAGATACGAAGAGTGCCTTTCGTGTTCCTGAACCTAGTTCAGGTCAAGAGACACGTATTCCGTAAATACGTTCTAAGGAATCTTGGGAAACATAGGAAAGTGCAAGAAACGATACTATTCCACGTCTTTAACAGTCTGGCGCACGCATGATAAGCGAGCGGGCACGTCCCATGATAAATATTTTACTGCCTCAGTCGGAAAAGCGTACGAGGGTGGCAGGGTAGCCCGTCGAGAGGATACAAGGGGTGTCTGTCTGCCTCTAAATTTAAAGTTTCCCCTCCCACGCCAGCAGGATTAAACTGACTTTACAACAGGCGACGACCCGAGCGCCCCCAACCATCCGATTCACCTTTTTCGCCGTCCTCCGCGCCCAGATGTGGGCTGAAAGGGACGAGAGAGGCCGAGAGACGATGCATCGTCGGTCCCGCGCATATCTTACACCTTATTACGTTTCTTAAATATGACTCGACGGGGCAGCACAGTCGCGCGACCCCCACCACGCGACACCAGCGCCACGCCACTCCCGCGGTCGACTGTCGCGCTTCTTCGCGGCGGGCTTCGAGGGGTTTGCGGGCCAAGCACCATTCTATATGCAAAATTTCACGGGTCGCGGAAGCGAAATAGCGAGTCGGCAGGCAAATGAAGTTCCCCGCGGAAAATAACGCGAGGAATTCCTGGACCGTCCCGCACCGCCCCACGGCCACGCCTGCAGTGCTCCCGTTTTATTTCTTCCAGGCAATTTATATTCCCGGATTATCGGGTTTCGAGAGAATTTCAGACGCCCTCTAGCCAGACGCGATATCTTTGTAACCGCTGCTCGGGTTTTTAAAGGCTTCTGACGAATTCTGCCGGGACCTTTACAAGGATTGCGGATTATTGCGGATTTTATGATACTACTGGTGGATTGGGTTGGAGAGGGTTGGGAGAATATAGTTCGCGAGTGTGGTTTTACTTGGTTAGGTGGTCGGATTTATTGGGGATTTCTGACTTTTCGGGGGGTAAAGGAGATTGGGTTGGGTTAGGCTCGGGTCTCTGAGATTTATTTGTGTATTTATGGTTGGGCGGGTAATTGGTTTGATGGCTCACCTGTAGATCGGCTCCCCAGCGCCCTCCTTGTACCAGAGCACCATGCTGACATTGTCGTCGTCGGCGGAATGGATGTCACAAGGAAGGTGTACTTTGTTGCCCTCTACTCCCTTGATTGTAGTCATTGGAACTGCAAGCACAATCATCGTACGTCGTTAGATCATTGTTCGGGATTAAATAGTTATTTTTGGAAATTTTATTAAATTTATTTCAAAGTAACTGTCTAATAAAATTTGCACTCCATAAAACTTTGCTATGAGATTTGAAAATTTTTGATAAATGTTAAATGAGGTCACAAATCATTCACAAACACTATAAATGCAAATGTCCATTTATTAAGAATAGATAGATGAAGTTTTAAAAGCCAAAGAACATTGAAATATTATTATCCCTACTATAAATTTTAATTAAATAACGACACAAATTATTATTGGAATATCGAAAGTTTAAAAGAGAAGAATAAAGAACAGGAAACTAGACATGTCTCGAAATTCTATAATTAATTAAGCTTAATTTCAAATCTACCCTCTAATTAATCATGTGCAGGGATACTTGCTAACCGATTTATTCGCGACTGAACCTACTTATTACATTGTAGCCATTTTTCAAGCGAACATCAATCACTCTTGGAAGTATGAACGAACTTCTTTCGAAATCAATGAACTTTCTCCAAGGCCTCGAAATATCTAATCAAACCATTAATCAAACGAAATTAATCTCCATTTATTAATTTTCCATGCACCTCAGCAGACTCCTTTCTACCCCTGTATAAAACTAAATGCACCAATAGCATCGAAATAAATGAGTATCGCGATCAAGTATGACAGGGCAAAGCTTTCTTCGTGTCATACTTTACAGCCACATTCAATAAACTGAAGTATACCTTTGGAAAAAGGCAGCCTCTGTGTAAATTTATTTTCCCTTCTCACTCTCGTATTTGTAACTAAAATAACGTCATTAATTACACCAATAACTATACTTTATGCGATTAAATTATTATTAATTCTGATACATATCGATATTACACCGTCCACCATTTTTAAATCTCCAAGCATAACTATGTTTACTTAATGACATTAAATTATCTACATCCCACGATATTCCTGACAAACAAGCTCCACTATAATGCACACAAGTTCACGTCCCCGAGACCCAAACTCAACTGCAACAAAACAATCGTCCGAAAAATTAGCTTCATCCGCATCACAACCGCTGTGGTGCCCAACAAACCAAAAACGAATCAAATCATGTCGAGTACGAGCATCAGCGTGTATAATTAACCACATTCGTTTGGTCGGGATGGTCCTACAAGCCGCTGGGAGCCTCCGTACTTCGCACGAGCGCCGCGGTGGCGCGCGCGAGTTACGGAGACATCTGCTGGGATTAGGTCTCATTACACGGGAACTCAGCGGTGACGTACGCGCGGAAGGTCGTGGCTTGCCGAGCGAGCTTAAGGCGGTCGTCGGCCGAGTCGTCTTTGCCGGCTGACGACGCAGACTGCGGTTAACGGCGGTTTGATGTCCCCACCGCCCTGTCTACCCGATTAGATTTACATGTAGATGGAGTTATCACGTTTTAACGAGCTACGCGGTGACGTGCAGCGCCACCAACCGCCTCTTATCATCCCCAACCCTTAACCGACGTGTTTGCCCCTCGTTGTCAGCTGAAAATCAACGATCGCGCCCTGGGCCAGACTGCCAGAAGGACCCATCGCTCCCATGGATCTCATCGATCAACGACACTCT